ACATAAAAACAGATCGCAACAAGGCTATCTCTGGTTTTGTATGGATCAGAGGTGGTATTCAGCAAGTTCTGACCAGTTCTGGAGAACCAGTAGCAAAAATTTTGAGTAGTTCGGAGAACCGGTAAATACCACCTTTGACTGGCCCCGCCACATCTATTCTCTACCTTCCAAGTCCCAGCTGATTCGGAGGGAATGGGGATTTTGCAGAAACCTTCTCCTGGAGTGGGGAGTGAATAGAGATTTTATAGTATCCTTCCCCTTCCACCAAGCCACGCCCATCAAGCGACACCACACCACCAAGCCATGCCCACAGAACCGGTAGTAAAAAAAGTTGAATCCCACCACTGGTATGGATACTTTTGCTGCTGCTGCCAACAACAAAAAGCCCCAACCAATATGGAAAATTATTTACCATAGTTGAAATATACACTTACAGTTATTCAGTGTGAAGAAATAATCATGTGCTTTTTTGTTGATTAAAAACTTTTCTTTGTTTAATAGAATTTATAGTTTGAGTTCACCCCAGACACCTGTGAAAATGATAACTCTTTCAGATGCTGATGAGGAAACATTGAGACTTAATAAGGGGTAAGATTGAATCTTCCTCCTCTCCAGGCATGCTCAGCTCTTCTTTGTTTATCTGGAAACTGGATCTGTGTTTAGAGTCACTGCAGACTAAAGTCTCTGTCTGCCTTTTCTGCTTCAGGAGAACATATACAGCATTGATAGGAGAGACTGCAGTGGCATTTGACTTTGGACCTCTAGCGGTACTTCCTAAGAATGTAACTGGACAGAGACAGAAAGAGGATGTGCTGGCATATCCTATGTATATCCTGTATGAAAATGGAGAGACGTTTCTGATCTACATTAATCTCTTGCACAGGTAAAGGCTTGGTTGAGAAAGATCACTTAGTGACATTCTGTTTGCCTATCTGCACTAGAGCGTACGTTTTTTAATATAGGAGGTTATAAAGGCACTGAATGGAAAATAAAATTGTTTTAAAAGGCTGAATGGAAGTCAATTGCTTCTAAATAATGCATTTTATATTCTGTCACTGGTACAGTGCCTCAATATGTTTTGAGTATTCCAGTTTTGGCAAGGTTTTCCATTAGCTTTTGAAATATTCTCTCATTGGCATTACGGTGAAACTGATGGGAGAGTCAAGAGGGTTTGCAGGCGATGCAAGGCAAATTTGCACATGGAGGATTTATTCATGGCTATGAATAAAGCAATAATATTTTGACACCTAGAAAGTCTCGTTAATTACATTTGATTTATTTAAAGAAGGAAGTATCTTAAGTATTTTCCAGTCTGTCCCTAGAAGTGCTTAGCGCTAAGTCACTTCTCTGAAGTGTGGCTCAAGTGATCACTTCTAGGAGTGACATTACATTAAATGTTTATAAAATATAAGATTTTTTTGTTCTCAGAATAAATATTAAATATGCAAGACCATGGAACATTCGTAGCTCCTGGTAGTTTCTGCAGCAAACAGTGAAAAGTTTCTTTATGAAGCAGTTAGTTTTGTTTATTTGGCAGGGCAATGATGATAAAAGTTAATACTATGAAACAGCTTCCCACTTGTCTTGAAATTGTTATTCCAGCACCAGTAATCTTGGCAAGCTGCTGGGCCCATTGCTGATGTATCCTGCAGCTGAAGACAATTATGGCTACGATGCTTGTGCAGTTCTCTGCCTTCCCTGTGTTCCTAACATCTTAGTGATTGCTACTGAATCAGGGATGCTTTATCATTGTGTGGTACTAGAGGGAGAAGATGATGATGAACAGATGGTATGTTACTGCTACAGTTTGCATTTTTGAGAAAAAGTGTTGATATATGGGAGGAATCTCTAGTTCAATGGTAAAACAAAATGTTCTGCATGCAGCAAGCTCTAACATTGTTCAGAAGAAAGCATCAGATTTTAATCAATAGAACAGATCCATACCTGAGTACCCCCAAAATAGCTTTTTTCCAGAAACAACCAGAGCTAGAGGGTTAAATTCCCTGAATATAAAACCCTTAAAACATTTGTATTTTTAGGCATCTGACTGCAGAAGAGGTCATTTGCTGTATTTCCAGATTTCTTATAGTGATCTTGCATGTTATTTTGAAGTATAATAAAACAATATAACCTTCTAGTGATTGTGAGTAGCCAGCCCATAGGTTGCATATTGCTCCCCAGCTTTTTTCACTGCTGTAATTCAGTAATAAAATGGATGACTTTTAGTTTCATAATTTTGACATTTGGATGTCTTTCAGAGAGGCATTAGAATAATTTAGAAACTCTCCTGTCACCCTCTTTCTTAATCTGTTCACCCAGGTTTAAATAACATGCTAAAGTCTTCCCTTCTAGGGAAACTAGATAGAAGATTGAGGGACTGGGAAGTAGCTTCTGCTTTCTCCAGTGTTTTTCATCACTACCTTACAGTTATATTGCTGTGCAGAGTTGATTTCAAACACAAACAGTTTGAAATGTGTGATCTCTACTCAAGAAATATGTTTTATCCTAACCATTGAAGAGACTGCTGGAAAGGGGAGAATGTATCCTTGACAGACATTTAAACTGATTGAAGTTAAAATGGGTGCCACTCAATGCAGTTCTATTCCATGTCCATGGAATAATTCTTCTAAGTCAGGAATGTCAAACTCGATTTCATTGAGGGCCACATCAGGGTTGTATTTGACCTAGGAGGGTGGGGTGGGGGTCTTGTCCAGTGGGCGTGTCCAGAGCCCTATTTTCAGGTGCAATGGCCTCCTACAGCCCTCTGTCCACAAAAGCAGAGCTTGGGTGTGTCACCCCCTCCCCGACCCGAGGTGGCACAGTGGTTAAATGCAGCACTGCAGGTTACTTCAGCTGACTGCAGTTCAGCAGTTTGGCTGTTCAAATCCCACCAGGCTCAAGGTTGACTCAGCCTTCCATCCTTCCGAGGTGGGTAAAAT